TTGGCTTTAGGACATCCAAGAAAAGTCAGATATGTACCATTGGATCTCCAGACCCGTCGAAACGGTCAATATATGGCATTTTGAATCTGTCTGGGAGCCATACGACAGACTCAGTGTGCCCATCCTCAATGTCGGGAAAGGAATTAAGGCCCTGTGCCTTTTTGAAGTGCTTTTCAAGGTTTGTAATTTTCACTGCAGTCGGATTGAGCTCATTAACATCAAGGGAATAAAGCCTCTCATTAGGCTGCACCAGGGGTCTGAGCATTTGAGATTGAGTCAACCTTTCTCGAGGATTCGGACACTGTAAATCTTCAACTGGCGGAAGTGGGTCAAAGTTTGGCTGGGGTCCCAAAGCTGGATGTGAGGCAGACGCCCCAGATGGACGCTGCATTTCAATACTGGCCTCAGCCTGCATAGCAGTTCCTTGATTTAACGCTGCTATCACGGCCACAAATTCTTCCGAACCCTGTGCCATCACGGTCTGCTGAGTTTGAACAAAGGTGATGTGACTGGCGACTGACGGATCAAATGGACCGGTGAGCCCTGACTGGCCTTTCTTTGCCTTGCCTCAACGAAAGAACACTGGTTGCCCTTGAATTGAATTTCTGACCTAACAAAGTCTATCAACACTAGTCCAATGTACCCCGGGGATATCAGAGCCTTCTGAAGCTATAGTTCCAGGGCTACCTAGCAAAAGAGAAAACAGACAGCATCTCAGCACAATTTCACTGGAACGAATTTGAGCACACTAGGATAACTGTACTCAATACTGATCACTGTTTCCCAAATATCTGCCTGTAAACTGATACCCTCGGGTAAAACTGATTCCCCAAATACTGATGCTGATGCCCACAGGCCTGATACCCAGACTTGTAAACTGGTATATGCGTTCCTGTAGAGATACACTCTAAAAGCACATAGCAAGTAAGAGAGAGCCAAAACACCCCTATGTTGGGGTAGGGTTTCCCTGTCCTATTTTGTCAGGAACTAGGGTTCACTACGCACACAGCGGTTCCAAACAACCTACAATTGGGTAAGCAACCTGTCCTAACTTGGAATGGTCACTACGGATCCGAATATGCACTAGGTCAAATGGTCGAAAAGGGTGCCCCGGTAAAAACCGGGGTTTGTGTTCCCATACTGTCAGAGCCCATAACCGGTCAGCCTCATGGCATGCTTTGACAAAGTCAAGCCTCCGGCAAACCATTCAGGAATGGCAGATGGAAAACACGGTGTCCTAGGCGCACCAATGCACATGCAATGCAAAGAAATAAATATTATGGTGGGAAAAAATTTATCAGTTTGTTGATCTTTATGTTCTGTTGATAATGATGTTTCTCTGTCTTTACCAGGGAAGGAGTGGTCAGGAATAATCTGCCAAGCAAAAAGAAGCAGACGCGTTTACTTACCAGCTGAGTCAAATAATTGCTGGAAGCGCACAGCTTTTCGTCCCAAACCATTGCAGGTTTCAACCTCAAAATTTGAAATGCGTGAATGTCCTCAGCAATCTGGTTCAGCTGAAGACAACAACTCTTCCAGATCAATGGAATCTGATTCATCTGAAAGTGATTCTCAAGGTCCAGATAGAGTTCAAAGGGAAACACAACTTTCAGGTTTATAATCTCTCTTCATGGTTTCATATCACTGAACCTCTTATCTTTCACAGATTCGAAACCAGTAAATCTTTACCATTCAGATGAGGAAGCTAATTTTGTGTACCTTTACTGATTTCAAAATTAAGCTTTTATTTCATGGCTTTACTACTACTATTATTATGATGTGAGTTTGTTTGTTTGAAATTCAGTACAATATGCACAGTTACTCGTGTATCATTACTGAGTCCTATACCCATGAATTCTTAACCTACAAAATACATAATTATGCTTAAAAGAGTCAATGTGTGCACATGTATATTTACACACACATATACGTATGTGGTTAAGTTGGGTACTGAGCCTCACATAAGAAAACCTTTGTGCTTTTTTGTGCAGACAGATTTCACATGTGCATGACCCCAATCCCAATTAAACCAGATTACCTGTTATGTTTGACTCTTTATCATTTTCATGTTCATCCTTCGTCAATAGCCCTAGATAGAGGGAAACGGTGATACTGAAATTATATACAAGTAAAGAAAAAGAAGAAAAATTCCTTACCATGGCTTTTGAAATGGTATATGCGACCCTTAGCTGCTACTTTTTTTCCTTCTTTTTTCTCTAGGAAAATGTGGATGATTTCAAGCTTTTCAGCTCTATCCAAATTATACTTGCATGATTTGCTGTTGGATTCTGCACTTGGCTAATTTTGTGTACCATAATGAACACGAGCCAAGTAGAGGCTTTAATATCTAGCAGCAAATTTTAATGACTTACATCTCTAAGAATTTAATCCAAAATAACTTGCTGTAAAAGCTTTGGAAGTCATAATTAGTATGAGATTATTTTACTTTAAATGCAATTTGTCGGTTGTCCAACAAGATGTCGACCAATAAAACTGTATATTCAATTGTTTCAATACAATGTGTACATCTGATATATATAGCAATTCTAGACCTAATCCTAAATAGGAAACAAGAATAAACCTAAACCAATTCTAAATAGGAAACAATATTCACATAATATATACTATATTAATATTATTCTCATAGACCAAGCCAAAAACAAACAAATAAAGAAATGAATAAATAACTGAAGAAAGGGGAGAACTTAAGATGTGGGCACATGGATGGGTAAAAATCAAAGAAGACATGGCTGGTAACATGGCAGTAAGAATCATTGCAATCCCATATGTTCTGAATACTTCTTTTTGTTTTTTCGTTTTTGGATAAGTTTCCCACCCTTTCGTTTTGATTTTTCTTTAGTAATTAATTTTTTTGGTTTTCATTTCGCCAAGTATGGCTGTTAAAGAAGCATGCTATTTTAATCTCTCTTCTTCTTTTTTTATTTTTTGGGAACACCAAGTTTTTTTGAGTGTTTAACTCTGTTGGGTTTCCATTATAGTTGTATGGAGTTTTTGAATGGTTATGTTCTTTCATATGTGTATATATATATTTTTCTGAATGCATGGATGCTGTTTGATGATATAGATGCTGCTATCCTTGTGTCAACTCAACCAAGTAATTCAGGGAAGTATGATGGGCAACCTGGAAACATGAACGGGAAGGGGAATCATGAACTCAATAACTTGTCTGATGTTCCTCTTAAACACCTGACTGCAGCTGAGTTTGGGATACAGAAAAGGGTGCATATAGGAAAAGAAAACATTTGCAATCTAACCAAAAGGCAACTCGATGTGATTGATGTAAAGAATTATGTCAAATTCAAAAAAAGGATACATAACAATGGTGAAACTTTGACTTCAAGTGCAGCTTTAGCTTATCATAGTATAACTGAATTAGACACAAAACCAGGGGAAAATTCAGTTTGGGTGGCCAATACGCTGTCTCAATCAACTCCAGTTTATATTGGCTTTAGTAATAGGATGGAAACAACATTAACAGATGTGGAGTTGAAAGTCCAAGCAAGTTATCGAGAAGATCATGTCCCTCTGGTTTCTCTAATGAGTGGCTTAAATAGGAAGGCAATAGTAGGGCACCCGATTGATATTGAAGCCTCAGATGACGGTTCTTCAGAGATCCTTCTTGCTAGAAAACATGAAATTGGCCACAAGTTGTTGGATAACAATGGGAGTACCATGCTTCGGCCAGCTTGGAGAACTTCTAGAAGGACTCGTGTGTGTTATGTCCCACAATCCCATACTCCTCCCACTCTGAATGATGCTAAATATGCACAAGCTTATCAAAATTCTGGTCATTTAAGTCTCAAGGCAGGGGCAAACAGTTTGCAACCAACGAAAGACATTCCAAGGAAACCTAACTTGGTTAACCTGAAAACAAGAACAATCTCTTCATTTGACACTGAACAGAAACTTGGTGGCAATGAGGGTGATCTTCAACCCATCAGCCAGGGCTGCATGATAGACAGACAACTGAAGGCAAAAGACATGCCTACCAGAGTTACATGTGTCCCTGTAAAACTAATTTTCAGCAAGTTACTGGTTGCGGTTGGTAGGGTGCAATCTTGAATAGAACCTTTTGGAGTTATTAACTTATGGCAGTATAGAAGGAAAGCCTGTTATAGTATACAAAAATCTGTGGTTGTATAGAATCATATTACATTCTAGTTTTTATCTGCTAAGTATAGGTTATGGCTCTTAATTTGAGAGATATCAGGGTTCCATTATTGGGTCTTGTTTGGGCATACTTAGTAGAGCATCCTCTGGGGAATTTGTATGTATGCATGCAAGTTGGAATTTTCATCTAAATCCCATTCAATGTGATCTGTTTTGTAGCTTTTGTTATCACCTGCAGTTGGGTTTGGTGTGGATGCACATGTTCAAATATCATATTGCTTTGCAGTAGAGATATCAAAAGTGGATGAATTTTGTTTCTTTCAAAACCAGCTTAAGTAGTTTCTTTCACCAAAAATCAAGATTTGATTGGGTGCATTATTGCTTAATTATATGATGGCTGTCCAATTGGCTCTAATAATGTGGATAAAACAGAAATCCTTATTTGTGGAAAATAAAGCTGGTCATAGCATGCTCAAATAATGATATTGTAATTCTGTTGCTACAGAGAGGGAAATATGTGAACTTGTATTCAAGGTAGAAGGCCCACCAACCAAATTTTACAGCAAGAACAACACATAATCACTCATTTTCTGATAACTTATTAATTACTCCAACAAGCACATTTAGTTTGCTTAGAGCATCTCCAACGATTGACCTATTTTTTCATCAAATTTGAGTAAAAAAAAAGCAAGTTTCTCGATCTGATACGAGCGGTTCCAACGGTTGCATTGTAGTGTGTATCAAAAGACACGGGACGACCGGTGGGAAGACCGGCCAGTTGACTGGTAAGGCAACTGATTTTTTTTTGTTTTCCCCTCCTTTTCTGTTTCCCATTTCTTTTTCCTTCCAACAAACCTCACCACTAATCATTCAATTGTTCAAGCTCAGCCTGCAATTGCTTAATCTTGAGCCCCATAGACCTTTATTTTCATTACAAATGAATATTAAAATAATAAAACGACTTTTTTTTGGAGGGGGGATTTGGAATTTTTTTTATTTTCATTACAAATGAATATTAAAATAATAAAACGACTTTTTTTTGGAGGGGGGATTTGGAATTTTTTTTATTTTCATTACAAATGAATATTAAAATAATAAAACGACTTTTTTTTGGAGGGGGGATTTGGAATTTTTTTTATTTTCATTACAAATGAATATTAAAATAATAAAACGACTTTTTTTTGGAGGGGGGATTTGGAATTTTTTTTATTTTCATTACAAATGAATATTAAAATAATAAAACGACTTTTTTTTGGAGGGGGGATTTGGAATTTTTTTTATTTTCATTACAAATGAATATTAAAATAATAAAACGACTTTTTTTTGGAGGGGGGATTTGGAATTTTTTTTATTTTCATTACAAATGAATATTAAAATAATAAAACGACTTTTTTTTGGAGGGGGGATTTGGAATTTTTTTTATTTTCATTACAAATGAATATTAAAATAATAAAACGACTTTTTTTTGGAGGGGGGATTTGGAATTTTTTTTATTTTCATTACAAATGAATATTAAAATAATAAAACGACTTTTTTTTGGAGGGGGGATTTGGAATTTTTTTTATTTTCATTACAAATGAATATTAAAATAATAAAACGACTTTTTTTTGGAGGGGGGATTTGGAATTTTTTTTATTTTCATTACAAATGAATATTAAAATAATAAAACGACTTTTTTTTGGAGGGGGGATTTGGAATTTTTTTTATTTTCATTACAAATGAATATTAAAATAATAAAACGACTTTTTTTTGGAGGGGGGATTTGGAATTTTTTTTATTTTCATTACAAATGAATATTAAAATAATAAAACGACTTTTTTTTGGAGGGGGGATTTGGAATTTTTTTTATTTTCATTACAAATGAATATTAAAATAATAAAACGACTTTTTTTTGGAGGGGGGATTTGGAATTTTTTTTATTTTCATTACAAATGAATATTAAAATAATAAAACGACTTTTTTTTGGAGGGGGGATTTGGAATTTTTTTTATTTTCATTACAAATGAATATTAAAATAATAAAACGACTTTTTTTTGGAGGGGGGATTTGGAATTTTTTTTATTTTCATTACAAATGAATATTAAAATAATAAAACGACTTTTTTTTGGAGGGGGGATTTGGAATTTTTTTTATTTTCATTACAAATGAATATTAAAATAATAAAACGACTTTTTTTTGGAGGGGGGATTTGGAATTTTTTTTATTTTCATTACAAATGAATATTAAAATAATAAAACGACTTTTTTTTGGAGGGGGGATTTGGAATTTTTTTTATTTTCATTACAAATGAATATTAAAATAATAAAACGACTTTTTTTTGGAGGGGGGATTTGGAATTTTTTTTATTTTCATTACAAATGAATATTAAAATAATAAAACGACTTTTTTTTGGAGGGGGGATTTGGAATTTTTTTTATTTTCATTACAAATGAATATTAAAATAATAAAACGACTTTTTTTTGGAGGGGGGATTTGGAATTTTTTTTATTTTCATTACAAATGAATATTAAAATAATAAAACGACTTTTTTTTGGAGGGGGGATTTGGAATTTTTTTTATTTTCATTACAAATGAATATTAAAATAATAAAACGACTTTTTTTTGGAGGGGGGATTTGGAATTTTTTTTATTTTCATTACAAATGAATATTAAAATAATAAAACGACTTTTTTTTGGAGGGGGGATTTGGAATTTTTTTTATTTTCATTACAAATGAATATTAAAATAATAAAACGACTTTTTTTTGGAGGGGGGATTTGGAATTTTTTTTATTTTCATTACAAATGAATATTAAAATAATAAAACGACTTTTTTTTGGAGGGGGGATTTGGAATTTTTTTTATTTTCATTACAAATGAATATTAAAATAATAAAACGACTTTTTTTTGGAGGGGGGATTTGGAATTTTTTTTATTTTCATTACAAATGAATATTAAAATAATAAAACGACTTTTTTTTGGAGGGGGGATTTGGAATTTTTTTTATTTTCATTACAAATGAATATTAAAATAATAAAACGACTTTTTTTTGGAGGGGGGATTTGGAATTTTTTTTATTTTCATTACAAATGAATATTAAAATAATAAAACGACTTTTTTTTGGAGGGGGGATTTGGAATTTTTTTTATTTTCATTACAAATGAATATTAAAATAATAAAACGACTTTTTTTTGGAGGGGGGATTTGGAATTTTTTTTATTTTCATTACAAATGAATATTAAAATAATAAAACGACTTTTTTTTGGAGGGGGGATTTGGAATTTTTTTTATTTTCATTACAAATGAATATTAAAATAATAAAACGACTTTTTTTTGGAGGGGGGATTTGGAATTTTTTTTATTTTCATTACAAATGAATATTAAAATAATAAAACGACTTTTTTTTGGAGGGGGGATTTGGAATTTTTTTTATTTTCATTACAAATGAATATTAAAATAATAAAACGACTTTTTTTTGGAGGGGGGATTTGGAATTTTTTTTATTTTCATTACAAATGAATATTAAAATAATAAAACGACTTTTTTTTGGAGGGGGGATTTGGAATTTTTTTTATTTTCATTACAAATGAATATTAAAATAATAAAACGACTTTTTTTTGGAGGGGGGATTTGGAATTTTTTTTATTTTCATTACAAATGAATATTAAAATAATAAAACGACTTTTTTTTGGAGGGGGGATTTGGAATTTTTTTTATTTTCATTACAAATGAATATTAAAATAATAAAACGACTTTTTTTTGGAGGGGGGATTTGGAATTTTTTTTATTTTCATTACAAATGAATATTAAAATAATAAAACGACTTTTTTTTGGAGGGGGGATTTGGAATTTTTTTTATTTTCATTACAAATGAATATTAAAATAATAAAACGACTTTTTTTTGGAGGGGGGATTTGGAATTTTTTTTATTTTCATTACAAATGAATATTTAAATAATAAAACGACTTTTTTTTGGAGGGGGGATTGGGAATTTTTTTTATTTTCATTACAAATGAATATTAAAATAATAAAACGACTTTTTTTTTTTTGCAACGGAGGATTTGCTAAAAAAATATTTTTTATTAAAATAAATTTTTTTATATAGTTAATGAATTTTTTTTTTCATTTAGTAAGGTTGAAAATTTATTTGTTTCATATTTATCTTAATGAATAAAAAATTATTATTATTTTTTTATTTGGTAGAAGTAGGGATAATATTTTCCATTAAAATAAATTTAATTTTTTGTGGTCAATGAAAAATATTTTGGTAGTGGTAAAGGAGATAGAATAGCGGTGGTAGAGGAGAGGTAATGGTAGTAGTAGTGGTGGTAGTGGAGTGGTAGCGATGGTGATAGTAATGATAGTTATAGAGGTGGAGTGACAACAGTGGTAGTAATGGAATGGCATTTGCAGTAGTGGTGAATGTGGTAGAGAAGATGGGTGGTGAGAGAGAGATGAGTAAGAAACAGATAGAGAAGAGAGAGAGAGAAAGAGAGAGAAGAGCGAAAGACAGACAAATAGACACAGAGAGAGAAAGAGAAAGAGAGAGAGAAGAGTGATAAGTGAGAGAGAGACAATGAAAGAAAGAGATATAGAGAGAGAGAGAGAGAGACAGGAAGAAAGAGATAGAGAGAGAGAGAGATGTAGAAAAATAGAGAAAGAGAAAGAGAGATGAGAGAGATATAGAGAAAAGAGATGAGCGAGAGACAAAGAAAGAAAGAGAAAGAGACAGAGACAAAGACTGATAGACAGAGAAGAGTGATGAGTGAGAGAGAGAAGAGGTAATATTTTGTGGTAGAGGAGAGGAAGCGGCAGTAGTGGTGAAGGTGGTGGATAAGAGATGATGGCGGTGGTGGTGGTGGTAGTGGTGGTGGTGATGGCAAAGGAGATTAGTGGTGAAGTTGTGGTAGTGGTAGAGTAGATGGAGTGGCAGGGGTGAAAGAGAAGTAATGGTAGTAGTAGTAGTGTTAATAGTGGTAGTGGTGGTAGTGGAGTGGTGGCGATGGTAGTAGTAATGGTAGTCGTAAAGGTGAAATGGCGACCGTGGTAGTAGTGGTGGTAGTAAAATGGCGTTTACAGTAGTGGTGAAGGTGGTAGAGGAGATGGGTGGTGAGAGAGAGAGATGAGTGAGAGAAAGAGAGACAGAGAGAGAGAGAGAGAAACAGAGACAGAGAGAGGTGGTAGAGGAGATGGGTGGTGAGAGAGAGAGATGGGGGAGAGAGAGGTGAGAGAGATAGAGAGAACAGAGATGGGTG